ATATATATATATATATGTGTATATAAGATATTCAATTATAACTATATAAATTTATGATTACGAAATCATAACAAGAAACAAAAAATTAAAAAATTTTTTTCCTTTCTCTCTTTTCTATCCTTCTTTATCTGTTTCATGACAGGATAACACGACAGCAATAAATTATGAGACAAAATGTCATGCGCACATCAAGTATATACAATGTTCGAATGGAGGATCGCTAGAAAATAAAAGAAAAATTGTCGCGAATCACAAAGTGCGAACAATGTCAGGTGCGAGAGATGAAAGCAGCTTAGGATTGTATTGTTCTCATTTAATAAACATTGCGTGTCTAAAATTATCGATCTATCATCTCAAATTTATTCTTACTCTCGACCAATACATATACACGTGTGTAAGGGATAGAAGAAAATGGTAAGTAATTCTGCGACGATTATTATCACTATTTATATAATATGTGTATTTATATAATATGTGTGTGTGTGTGTGTGTGTGTGTGTGTGTGTATGCAAATTTTTTAATAAATGAATATGCTGACAACACTGTTAACATTCATTAAAAATACAGTAAATAAAATGTAGAACCACTTCATTAAATTGCAAGTAGAACGGATATATAGGAAATTGAAGCTTTTATAATCTGTAAAAATATTATTCAAATATTATAACATATCAATGTACGTAGAAATTAAATATTTAAATTCAGTGTTTATGTAAAAAATGATTTTTTTGTTTAGCATTGGACTCATTTTAGTATGTAATAATGAGAATATTGAAACAAATATTATTTCTTATTAATCAATATATTAAAAATAATATAAGTAAAAAAATTAGTCAAGCGTAAAGATAAATTAAAATATGCAAATATCTTAGTAACGCATACAGATATGTTTATACTTGCGTAAAAGACTACAACTGTACTGAATACACTAATCTGTACTCAGCTGCTAAATACGTGTGTTTTATACTTTGCGCTTTATACTTTAATTATAATATAAGACAGTCAATTACGATTAAATTAGAAATTAAATTAGAAATATCCATAAAGAACTTCTTAATTTTTTTTAGTTTTAATAGTGAAAATTTGCCCACAAAATTTGTCTCTTTTTAATTACACTCTGTATGTATGTATGTATGTATGTAACAAAAATTAATAGATATCAATATTTTACTTATCTATATCTTAAAAAGAGCGAACACACTTTTAAATTTAATAGATAATTATAGGTAAAATAATTATTTGCATAAAATTTGTACTAATAGGCTATACGTATAAAGCAAATCTGAAATAAACTTACACTAGTAAATCGTTCCAAGGACAAATTCATTATCTTTCCAATAGTAATCGTTAATTGTACTTGCGATCTCATTATCAAGAACAATATAATTCGACTGTTTTTAGGACCTGATTCGTACCAGTGAGAAGCGTAGGCAGCATCTCCGATGCTTTTACTCTGTTAAATAATTAATTTTGTAATATTTATATACATAAGATTTGCCAAATTAATTGGCAAACATTTCGAAAAATCCGTAAGATTTACGTACTTTTAGAAAAATATGCAAAAAAGTGTTTCACACAAAACTGAAACGGCTTCATGTGTTTTCATCACATTGCTTTGCTAAGAAAATATGAAAGGCACTTCTACTTTAAAAAAAATGGAATTTTTGTACATAACATAGTTTCTTCTAATTATTCTATAAAACGTATTACGGTAGAAATATTAAATTCCAAGTTTATAAGATATTTTATAAGATATTTATAAGATATTATAAAGATATATAAATATGTATTAGAAATTGTAAAGATATTATAAAGATTTATAAGATATTTTATATTTTATTTTGATACACATTGATAAATTAAACATAAAAATTAAATAGTTTTATATTGAATATTTTGTAAACTATTAACTTAATAATCAAACACTTTTATGAATAGAATAATTAGAAAAATATCATGTAAAAAGCTATTTAATTCCACATAAAGAAGTAGAGATGATCTTTATAGCATTACATCTTTTTAGCATATACATCTAAAAAAAAAAACAATAAAAATACGTTCTTTCAAAACAATTTTTCTAAAATAATTTTTTCATATTTTTTACGTATTTTTCAAAATACTTGCTGGAATAATTATAATGCTCTGTATAATATACATAATTGTATACATGTGTATTTATGTGTGTGTGTGTGTGTGTGTGTGTGTGTGTGTGTGTGTATGTGTGTGTTTTTATAAAAACTGTAATATTATATTTAAGATTTCATGATTGATATATTCATGTGTCTAACCTTAGCGCTCAAGTATTCTCCAGCAAAACAAAATATGAATGCCTCCATATTCATAACAAGATAAAATAAGAGGGTCCTAGTTATACTTTTCAAAACATCGGGTTCACCGATTGACTGAAATATTAAGGAATATTCTAAGAGTAACGGAAATGTAACAAACTGCTGAATAATTAAAAGTATGAAATAATGCTCTTTTATTCTACAAATTCAATAGCGATTTCTATAGCGTATATTTCTTTTTATTGTGAAATTAAACAAGATTCTAATATTTACTGCGACAATAGTAAAACCTAAACAGCAGATAATCAAAGTATCCGATACAAAGAGCACCATCGCAATATACGAATATAAATCTTCGATATGCTCTGAAAACATGATGATATTCTGATGTTTCTTGATTATTTTTTTTATCATAAAATGACTTAAGTTGCTCTTCTCTTTCTTAGCAAAAATTGCCGTCAAACTCTGACGAAGAATATCGATTTGACCGCCTATATGCAATATCTAAAATGTACATTTTTCAGAACTAACATGCAAATGCAAGTTGCAAAAAAATATCGTAATTTCTAAATTTAATTGATGCAGAAAATACAAACTGTTTTAAAATTCAAAAAGCAGCATAAGTCAGAGTAGCCTATAAATTATTCTTTATAATATAGACAATAATTAAATATTTTAATAAGTTAAAATTAATTGATAGATTAAAACACAATAAAATTTTCAAAAAATTAATGTCTATAAAATACTCTTCTAAAAAGTTTTTATGAAATTCGAAATATTTCCCGAGTTATGTTATAGCGAAGGGACATATATATAGTGCTATAATAGAGGTACTTATCTGATTTAAGAAAGAAGTTGTGCGCAGATAATAGATAGATAGATAGAAATAGATAAATAGTTGTGCGCAGATAATAGATAGATAGATAGAGAAAAATAGATAGGTAGATAGATAGATAGATAGATAGATAGATATAGATTTTTATTAAATAATCAATACCAAAACTTTAAATGCGTTTTTTTCAAAACTACTTTTTTTCATCTGGCGGCTTCAATAACTTTAACAATTTTCGACCGATTGGCCTCAGCATTGAACAGTAGCTTCACAAAATGAATAGTTTCAGTTAAGCGTAGGGATTTTATTTATTAATTT